GATTGTCTCCTTGCCCTGCTTGAATTTTAATACTCTGTGCTAGGACACTCCTTTACATGGGCGCCTTCCTTACCCTGATGAGATTCTGATACCTTGCTCTGGGCCATTGTCACTTTGCTACAGATTCTCACCTTGTTCTGTCCACCTAATGGTTTTAAGATTGAATCGTTAGAAAGGAAAAGATAAAGGAAAGGGAGAATAAAAACACAGGAGAAAGAGAATAGGAAGCTTATTTTTTATGATTAATATATCTTTTATATCCTTTTACTTTCAACCTATCTGTGACTTTACAGTAAAGTGCATCACTTGTCAATATCATATGGTTGAATGTTATTAATTTTTAATCTTGTCTGTTAATCTTTGTCTTCAACTGGGATATTTGTTTCATGTACATTTAATATAATTATTGAGCTAGTTGATTTTGCTATTTGCTTTCTATGTTGTTTCCTCTGTTGGCTTGTTTTACTTTTTTTTTTCTATCTTTTAGTGGTTATTCTAGAGATTGTAATATACTTCCTTGACTTTACAGCAGTCCCATTACTGGGTATATACCCAAAACAAAAGAAATCATTCTGAAAAAAATACATATATTCAGTGTTCATTATAGAACTGTTCATAATAGCAAAGAAAATTTGCTTTACACCTGACAGGTCATTGGTTTTTCAATAATCCAATATTGGAAGAACTCAGTTCAGGCTTTCAGATATTTGAATTCAACTCTTTATACTCTCTGCCCTCACAGCTTTCAAATATGGTAAATGTAAGGAGAACACCAGTCATGTATTTGTTGCAGTTACACTTTCTCAAGGGAAATTCATTTTATTAGTACTCTTGCAAATAATTTTACTGTTTTTCTGACTCAGCCCCTTTCTTGGGGTTGGCTCTTCTGACTTTTGACTGAGAGTCTGGTTCGTCTTTTAATTCCTTACCTTTAAAAGTTCTCTCCTTCAAGCATTAGTTATTAAGCCTCCTGCCTTAAGCAGGTATAACATCTGGCAAATGTTTTAAGGAGGAGAGCTGATGTGTGTTTGTCCCAGGCCTCTCCATCTGGTGGGACTTGGCCTCTTACAGTGCCATGAGTATGAATGAGATTTCAGTGTGTTACTCTGGTTCAGCCCACAGCCTCCCATACCACCTCAACAATCAGGAAATGTCTTGTGGGGGAAATCAGATGGGTATTCTTCTAGGTTCCTTCATGCCACACCATCATGACTGCCTACATGTTCATCAAAAGCTCAGTGATTTCTCTTTGTCAGTAGATTATGTCTACCTACACCAAGCCTTTGCCTAGAATCACCAAATACCTCTGTCTAGCATATTAGTTAGAAATATTTCCTCATTGCTTCTATAGCTCTAAGACTTTTTTAAAAATGTGATTATTATAATTTATTCATTTCGTTTGTTAAAGTAGGAGTGACGGTATATGGCTACCTACTACATCGTAACTACCCTACTACATCCTACTTGGAAATGGAAGACCCATTTAGATCACTATTCTCTCTATAATATATTAATAGTATTCCCTGTAGAGTTCTTGCATCTTTTATTATACTTTATTAGGTATTTAATATTTTTGGTACTATTTTTGTGACGTATTTTTTAGATTTTAATTTTATAACTTCTATGATACAGAAAAATCTAAAGGACTTAAAAATTTTTGATCTTGCATCTGGCAACTTTTCTAAAAATTTAATCATATTCTAATAAGTTATATGTAGATTCTTTTGGATTTTTCTATGTACACAATTATATCAAATAAGAAAAGTACTATTTTTTCCTTTTTTATCCATACCTTTTCTTTTTTCCTGCCTTACTGCTAATACCATTTAATACCCTTATTAAAATACTGAATAGAAGTGGTAAGAGTTGGCATTCTTACATTGTTCCTAATCTCATAGGCAATATTCTCAATGTTTTACTATTAAATATGATGATTGCTTTAAGGTTTTTTGTGGTTTCTCTTTGCTGTGAATTTTTATCATGCATAATTACTGAGTTTTATTAAGTGCTGTCTCTGCCTATACTGATATGGTCATGTGTGTTTCTCCTTTATTCTGCTGAGGTGGTGAATCACATGGATTGATTTTTTAAAAATGTTTACTCACCTTGCATTCCTGGGGTAAACTATCATGGTAGAGATTCAACTACATACAAATTTGTGTGTGTAAAATGAGAGCAAGCACACAGCATACACACACATGCACTACATTTTGTTGTCTAACATTTTGTTTAGGATTTTTGCATTTATGTTCATAAGGGAGATTGACCTATTTTTTTTTCTTTTCCCATAATTGTCTTTTTCAATTAGCAAATGGTAGGCATATGGTAAAGACTCTAAAGTTCTACTTTTGTGATATATTCTAGGTATTACTCTACTACAATACAACGTTACTCTCTTTTCTTGAAACTTCATTTTCAAGTGATTTTTTTTTTTTTTGAAAGTTTTATTTGTTCTTTTTTTTTTTTTTTTTTTTTTTTTTTAAGAGATGAGGTCTTGCTTTGTCACCCAGGCTCTGGAGTGCAGTGGTGCAGTTATGACTCACTGCTACCTCGGACTCTTGGGCTCAAGCAATCCCTCTGTGTCACCCTCCTGAGTCATTGGGACTATAGGTGTGTGCCACGGTGCCTGGCTGATTTTTTTATGTTTTATAGAGACAGGGTCTTACTGCATTGCCTAGGGTTTTCTCTAACTCCTGGGCTCAAGTGATCCCCTGTTTCAGCCTCCCAAAGTACTGGGATCACAGATATGAGCCACTGTGCCTGGCCTTATTTTCAAGTAATTTTAGAGTTACAGAAAAGATACATATAATAAAGTTCCTAATACTTCTCTCCTAGCTTCTCCTGTTGTTACATCTTTTTAAATTTTATTTTGTTTTATTTCTAATTTTTATTTTTTTGAAAATGGAGTTTCGTTCTTGACTCCCAAATTGGAGTCCAATGGCGTGATCCCAGCTCACTGCAACCCCACCTCCTGGGTTTAGGTGATTCTCCTGCTTCAGCCTCCTGAGTGGCTGAGATTACAGGTGTGCGCCACCACACCCAGCTAATTTTTGTATTATTATTAGAGACAGGTTTCACCATATTGGCTAGGCTGGTCTCAAACTCCTGACCTCAGGTGACCACTCGCCTTGGCCTCCCAAAGTACTGGGATTATAGGCATGAGCCACCACACCCGGCCTATTTTTTATTTTAGAACTTTTATTTTAGGTTCAGGGTTACATGTCTAGGTTTGTTCTGTAGGTAAACTCATGTCATGGGGGTTTGTTTTACAGATTATGTCATCACCCAGGTACTAAGCCTAGTACCCAGTAGTTACTTTTTTCTGCTCCTCTCCCTCCTCCCTCCATGCTCAGGTAGGCCCCAGTGTCCGTTGTTCCCCTTTTTGTGTCCATGAATTCTCATCATTTATCTCCCATTTATAAATATGAAGATGTGGTATTTGGTTTTCTGTTCTTGCATTAGTTTGGTGAGGGTAATGACTTCAAACTCTGTCTTATGTTTTGCAAAAGACATGATCTTACTCTTTCTTATGGCTGCATAGTATTCCATGTTATAAATGTACCACATTTTCTTTATTCAATCTATCATTTATGGGCATTTAGGTTGATTCATGTCTTTGTTCTTGTGAATAGTTCTATAGTGAACATTTGTGTGCATGTATCTTTATGGTGAAATGATTTGCATTTCTTTGGGTATGTACACAGCAATGGATCGCTGAGTCAAATGCTAGTTAAGTTTTTTTGCTCTTTGAGGAATTGCCACACTGCTTTCTACAGTGTTCAAACTAATTTACACTCACATAGACAGTGTGTAAGTGTTCCCTTTTCTCTGCAACCTTGATAGCGTCTGTTATTTTTTGACTTTTTAATAATAGCATTCTGATTAATGTGAAATGGTATCTCATTGTGGTTTTAATTTGCATTTATCTAATCAGTGATGTTGAGCTTTTCCCATAGGCTTGGTAGCCACATATGTATCTTCTTTGGAAAGGCATCTGTTCATTTCCTTTGCCCACTAAGTTCCTTATAAATGCTGGATACTAGACCTTTGTCAGATGCATGGTTTGCAAATATTTTCTGTCATTCTTAGTTTGTCTGTTTACTCTGTTGATAATTTTTCTTTTACTGTGCAGAGGCTATTATGTTTAGTTAGGTCCTATTTTGAGTTTTTGCTTTTATTGCAATTGCTTTTGGTGTCTACATCATGAAATCTTCGCTGGTTCCTGTGTCTGGAATGGTATTGCCTAGGTTGCATATGGGGTATCCACATCATCACTGGTGATGTTAACTGATCACTTGGATAAGGCAGTGCTTGCTAGATGTCTCCACCATGAAAATAAGTACTATTTGTCCCTTCTTATGCTCCGTTCTTTGAAATCCAGTCACTCAGTTCAGCACATACACAAAGGAGGAGAGGAAGATTAAGCTTAACCTCCTTTGGCTGGAGGTATCCATATCTGTTATTTGGACTTCTTCTTAAAGCAAAATTTGTTTCTTCTTTCAAATTATTTATGTATTCAATTATTTACTTGCTCCATTCTTTTAATATTAATTCTCTGTGATCTCAAGATACAACTACAACTTTGAAAACTCCTGGTTCTCCCAGAACTTCTTGATGGAACGCGCTCTGTTTCTTGTTTATGTTTGTATACTATGTGCATGTAGTACAGCCCCCTAATTTATAGTGGACATCCAGTAATTTGAAAAAATGTATTTTAAATTTAGCTGAAAAATATCATTTCCTCAACTAAATTATATAATATAACATTCTAAATTAAAAGTAAGTTTTCAGATAAAAGTAAACACGTGGTAACACTGTATGAAACCAAATAAAGGGTATTGCAGAAATTTTACTGTAACAACATTTGTCATTGATGTGTCCACAGAATGTCCCTATAGCTACTAAAATATTCCTTGAAACCACTTTTGGAAAGAAATTTCAGTTTCTAAGCGGCCAAGAATATAACCTGCTGTATTCTTTCTTTTTTTTTTTTTGGTCAGATTACCAGAGAAGAAAAAGACTCCACTTTCTGCTTTCTCTGAAAAATTGTCATCAGATGCAGTCACTCAGATAACAACAGAAAGTCCAGAAAAGACCCTATTTTCATCTGAGATTTTTATTAATCCCGAAGATCGTGGACATGAAATTACAGAGCCCAGTAACCAGAAACTACGCAAAGCTTCTGTCAAGTTTGCTTCATCATCTTCAGTCCAACAGGTTACTTTTTCTCGTGGAACAGATGGTAAGAGAATGTGTTTGCATTTTAGGTTGTTAGACCACTCTTTTGTGTAATTATCTTAGAAGTGATTGTGTCTTTCTAGTCAGAAAACCTAATTTTAATTTTAAGAATTAGGGGCTATATGATTATATCTGTCTTTTATTACTTAGCTGTCAACAAAATATGATTTATTTTTATCTTAATTTCTAGCAGAGTTAACCTATAGAACCTGTGCTGTTTGTGGTTAAAACTTATTTTTGCCCCATCATATTTGCAGTAAAAATACAAGTAGTTCATAACAACTTGAAAGTAATTGAGGTCTGCTTTTAAATGGGCAGATAAATTATCTTGTATTATAATAGTGTTATATATAGAGAGTATGTATATACTATAACAAAGAGATGCATAAACATATGTTAGTGCAAACACAATAGCAGCTTTTCTCTTGCTTATAAAGCAATCAGCAGAGACCCGGATTGACTGCTTGCTCTGTTGTCTTTAAAATGTAACCCAAAGTTATATTGGATTTACCTTCATGGTCAACTGGAAGGAACAAAAAGCATGGAGGAGCACACATAGGAGATGTTTACAGGCCAGGTCTGGTAGTAATCCAAATCACTTTCCACTGGCCAGGAATGTAGTTTAGCTGTGTTTTCCAAAATGAAGAAGAAATGGATTTTGGTGAACAGCTAGCAGTCTCTACCATAATGTCAACATTTAGAGTGTTTTATATGCTATAGTTTCAGTGATATTTTGATAGTACTTTTATATATAACATTTAGAATTAGAGCAATTTGTGAATTATTTTCTTTATTGGGTAAGTAGCAGGAAAATTAACTAGTTAGTTTCCGTTCTTCCCCAAATGAAGATGGAAACTTTACTAATTTTTAAAATATTTACTATTTTAGACAAATCTACTCTAAGTACATTTTAAGTTTCTCTACTTATACAAAAAACTTGCCTATCTACACATATAGATGAAGTATACCTAAATGTAAAGAAAATTCTTTGGGTCAGCATTTAAATTGCATTGAATTTAACTAAGTACATTTATATATTAAGATGGTTATCATTCTTGAACATTTTTCTTATGAAACTAAAGCATACCAAAATATGTATATAAAGTTTAATAAATTATCACAAAGAACACCTTTATGTGTTGGTTACCTATTGCCACAGTGATACAGTATAACAGCCTAAAAAAATCTCCATGGTTTATAACAGTAAACATTTGTTTTTCTTACTTACAGGCTTATGGGTCAATTGGACTTTGGCTGGCCTAGCTGTAAGCTACAGAAATGATTTGGGTCTGTTTCAGATACTACTTTCTGAGACTCAGGCTAATGGGTCAATAGCCGTCCTAGGGTGTGGTGTTCTAATGGTGGTGGCAGAAACACAAGAGAAGAAACAGCTATAAAAGCATATTTTAAACCTCTACTGTCATCAAATGGATCAAGTTATAGAGGTCATGATTTATGGTTCATATAAATTTTTTATCAAAGAATATTATTTGCTTTACTAATACAGTATTATTTCCAATACTGTGGATGAAAAGTAAATTTTTATGAGGTTTTTTTGGGGGGGGGCACAAAACATTATTTTAAGGTAAAAGGAATAATATGTTAAATACATGACTGCTTACCCATTACCCTAAATTAATAAGTTCCTCTACCTTTCTCCAGCCCTTTTTTCCTTTCCTGGAAGCAGCCATTATTTGCTATGTATTTACTTCTTGCTCTAGACAGGCAGTCCAAAGTAACTTTAAGACTACTGCATCCAAACAAAGTTTCTGAGAACTTAAAAAGCTTCTTATTTATCTCAGATCCGTCTCCATGTGATAGTTGTTTTTGCTATGAGTCCATTGTAGTTTTGTCTAGTCATTGCTGTTAATTTTCTCCAACCTCTGAACTGCATGGCAAATTCAACCATTGCTGTCAAACTTTATATACACTGATGGAGAAAGAAAATTAATAAATCAGTATTCTGATTAATGATAACTGCCGCAATAACCAAATAGAAGTGGAGGCTACAGCTTTTTAAATTTTTCTTTCTTTCTTTCTTTCTTTTTTTTTTGTTTGTTTTTTGCGTGACAGAGTGGTACAAATATTCCTAAGTTGTCTCAGACTTTACCATACTTGTATATATAGGTTTGAGGTCATTTTTTATGAATTTCTAACATCGGACTTTCTTAGAGGTCACTTTGCCATGCCCAGTGATAGAAATTAATACCTCTATGTGGTAATTATACTTCTTTTTAAAAATAACCTTATGTTTAAATCTTTAATCCATCAGGAGTTAAGTTTTGTAAGGAATGGGTCCAGTTTCAGCTTTCTGCACATGGTTAGAAAAAAACATAGGCAAAACCATTCAGAACATAGGAATAGGCAAAGACTTCATGACTGAAACACCAAAAGCAATGGCAACAACAGCCAAAATAGACAAATGAGATCTAATTAAACTTAAGAGCTTCTGCACATCAAAAGGAACAATCATTAGAATGAACCAGCAACAAACAGAATGGGAAAAAATTTTTGCAAGCTACCCATCTGACAGAGGACTAATACCCAGAATCTATAAAGAACTTAAACAAATTTACAAGAAAAGAACAACCCCATCAAAAAGTGGGCGAAGGATATAAACACACATTTTTCAAAAGAAGACATTTATGCGGCCAACAAAGATACAAAAAAATGGTCATTATCACTGGTCATTAGAGAAATGCAAATCAAAACCACATTGAGATACCATCTCACGCCAATTAGAATGGTGATTATTTAAAAAAATCTGGCTGGGCGTGGTGGCTCAAGCCTGTAATCCCAGCACTTTGGGAGGCCGAGGCGGGCGGATCACAAGGTCAAGAGATCGAGACCATCCTGGTCAACATGGTGAAACCCCATCTCTACTAAAAATACAAAAAATTAGCTGGGCATGGTGGCGCATGCCTGTAATCCCAGCTACTCAGGAGGCTGAGGCAGGAGAATTGCCTGAACCCAGGGGGCGGAGGTTGCGGTGAGCCGAGATCGTGCCATTGCACTCCAGCCTGGGTAACAAGAGCGAAACTCCGTCTCAAAAAAAAAAAAAAAAAAAAAAAAATCCGGAGACAACATCATGCTGGAGAGGATGTGGAGAAATAGGAACGTTTTTATACTGTTACTTGATCTTGTTACTGGTCTCTTTAGATTTTGGATTTCTTCCTGGTTGATATGTTGCATGTTTCTAAGAATTTGTCCATTTTTTTTCTAGCTTTTTCAATTTATTGGTACAAAGTTGCTCATAGTAGTTGTCTCATCATTCTTTAAATTTCTGTGGTATAGGTTGTAATTTATCTTTTTTTTTTTAAATCTCTGAGTTTGTTTACATGAGTCTTCTCTCCGTTTTTCTTAGTCTGGCTAAAGGTTTGTCGATTTTCTTTATCTTTTCAACAAACAAACTTTTGTTTCATTCATCTTTTGTCTTGTTTTTCTCATTTCAATTTCGTTTATTTCTGCTCTGATCTTTATGTCTTTTCTCTTACTAATTATGGATTTTGTTTTCTAGTTTATTAACATACATTGTTAGGTTGTTTATTTGAAGTTTTTCTTTTTTTTTTTTTAATGTAGGTGCTTATACCTATAAACTTTCTTCTTAGTATTGCTTTTGCTGTATCCCATAGGTTTTGGTATGTTGTTTCCATTATTGTTTGTTTCAATAAATTTATAAATTTATTTCTTGATTTCTTTATTAACCCACTGGTCATATTGTTTCATTTCCATTCATTTTATAGTTTTCCAAAGTTCCCCTTGTTATTGATTTCTAGTTTTATTCCATTGTGATCAGAGAAATGACTTGATATAATTGCAGTGATTTTTGAATTTTAAGACTTGTTTTGTGGCCTAAAATATAGCCTATCCTTGAGAATGATCCATGTGCTGAGAAGAATGTGAATTCTACAGCCATTGGATGAAATGTTCTGTAAATATCTGTTAGGTCCATTTGATGTATCTTTGTTGATTTTCTGTTTAGATGATCTGTCCAATGCTGATAGCGGGGTGTTGAAGATTATAGCTATTATTGTATTAGGTTCTCTCCCTCTTTTTAGCTCTAAAAATACTTGCTTTATATGTCTGGGTACTCCCATGTTGGGTGCATATATGTTTACAATTGTTATATCATCTTGCTGAATTGATCACTTTATCATTATATAATGTTTTTATAATTTTTTTTTTTTTTTTTTTTTTTTTTGGAGACAGGGTCTTGCTCTGTCACCCAGACTGGAGTGCAGTGGCATGGTCTTGGCTCACTGCAACCTCTGCCTGCCAGGTTCAAGTGATTCTCCTACCTCAGCCTCCTGAGTAGCCAGATTACAGGCACCCGCCACCAAATGCCTGGCTGATTTTTGTATTTTTAGTAGATATGGGGTTTAACCATGTTGTCCAGGCTGGTCTGAAACTTCTGACCTCATGATCCACCCACCTCAGCCTCCGAAAGTGCTGGATTATAGGCATTAGCCACCACGCCCGGCCATTATTTTTGTCTTAAAGTCTATTTTGTCTGATAGGAGTATAGCTATTCTTCCTCTCTTTTGGTTTCTATTTGTGTGGGATATCTTTTTCCATCCCCTTATTTTTAGTCTATTCGTGGTCTTTTAGGTTAATTGTGTTTCTTGTAGGGAATAGATTGTTGGGTCTTGTTTTTTTATGCATTCATTCAACCACTGTATATCTTTTGAAAGGAGGAGTCTACTGCTTTTGAGAGGAGTCTACTGCTTTTTATTTTTTATTTTAGATTTGCCCTTTTGAGGCTATTTGCCAGGTCCTGTAGGCATGCTTTATTCTTTTTTATTCTCTTTTTTCTTTTGTCTCCTCTGACTGTATTTTTAAATAGCCTGTTTTCAAGCTCGTTGATAGTTTTCTTGTGTTTAATCAATTTTGCTGTTAAAAGAGTCTGATGCATTCTTCAGTCCATTAGGTGTATTTTACTATTCCAGTATTTCTGCTTGATTCTTTTTAATTATTTCAGTCTTTTTGTTAAATTTATTTTACATG